ATTTATTTATTCAAACAAAAAAAAAATAGTGGACAAAAAAAAAACGAGTGGATAAAAATAAAACACACGTATTATGAGAATACGTTTTTCATTAAAACACGTATTCTCAGAATACGTTTTAGGTTATTAAACGTATTCTGAGAATACAGTTTAAATTATAATGATTAAATAACGTAGTTAAGTTAATTAAACTTAATTAAAATAAAATAAAACGTATAATAGACATACGTTTTAGATTAAAAAAACACGCATTATGGAAATACGTTTTGTTATTAAAACGTATTCATGAAATGCATTTTATAGTTAAATCACATGATACAATTTGCAGATTTCACAAGTGATTGGTTTAAGTCTAAAAAATGCATTAAACCAGCGTTTCATGAAAAAACAATAGACTTTCATGAAAACGAATTTCATGAATACGTTTTACGGGATGTTTTCTAAAAGTGGGTCACTTACAGGACTAAACCTCAAATAGGTACCAATTAAAGGACTAAATCTCTAATTTTTCCTATTGGTTTATTTTTCTTAAATAATATTGAATTACATTATTTCAGGACTCAAATCCTAACTTCTTTTCTATTTTTTGGTGGTTTATATTCTTTAATTGGAATAAATATTTGACTTATTTGATTAAAACAACTTATTTTATTTAAAAAATAAATTTAAGTGAGATATTCCAAAAAAAAAAAATAAAGATTTTTAAGGTAACAAATTTATAGATCCTTATGTCATCATTTAATTCATTCATCAATACGAATCCATTTTTATGCTAACAAATTTGAAGATTCTTATGCTAAAAATTTGAGATTTTGAATTGAGATATCCCAACAATTACGAATTTTTTTTTTCATTCATATTAATATTTCAAATCAAACAAAAAACATTGTTCCGAGAATAATGGATGTTATATTAAATATTGGTAAACTCCAATCCTCCCTTAAATATTGATAACTCCAATCGTTCAGGGAATAAACAATATACTAAAATCAAATTCATATTAGTATAAATGTGTTAGTGAAATAATATATTGTTATTTTACAAGTTAACCCTAACATACTCATATTTAATGTTCTGGCTAAAAAACGATAATTAAAAGTAGTGGATAATAGATTATATTTATATTTTTTTTATACTTAACACGTTGATTAAAAGGGATGGAAAATAGATAACTATGTTGGATTTAGACTTAAATGGATAGAGCTGTGAAAATAATTCATTTAAAAGTTATGTCTCGTGCACCGCACGGGGTACGTACTAGTAAAATATTAATATCTATTAATATATAATAAGGATTAACATAATTCAATTTTAGAAACTCTTTCCCGCTATTAGCATTAAATATACCCTATTTATATTAATTTTTTATCAAAAAAGTATCTAACATTAATGATGCAAAGAACTTCCTTAATAATCGCATGGAAACAAAAAAATTACTCCCTTAAATATCGCATGCTAAGATTTAAATCTAATTTTTTTTCGATTCTTCCAAATAAAATGGGTTATGCATGGAATCAACCATTTTACCAACTATTTTTATAATTTTACCGAATAAATAGATTAAGGCCGGTTGAACATGGTATACTATAATTTAATTTACTAATTTAATAGAATTTTACCAAATGATATAATACCGGTTGTACATAGTATAATATAAATTAATAATTTAATAATTCTGCCAAATAATATAATAATATATTATAAATTTAATAATATAATAATGTAGTTCTTTCAAATAAAACTGGTTGTACATGGTATCAATACTATATCTTTATCTATTAATATATAATAAGAATTAACTTAATTATGCGGAACAACAGTTTCTCTCTCTCTGCGGCGATTCTTCGAAACCCTTGCAGACAACCTCACTTGCGCTGTCCGGCCTCCCCGTCGACGGCGAGGCTCGAGCCTGTAGCCGCCGTTGACCGCCCGCTCCGTTCCTAATGTCTCGCCTTCCCGCTTTGCTGCAATTGTTGGTGATGGACTCGCCGTCCTCAGTCGTCTGCGAGATTCCGATTGGGGTGGTGGTCCCTCGATCTAAGTCTGATGGCTCTTCCTCGCTGGCGGATCTTCGATTTGTGAGGTATTGCCCCTTAATTTATCTCTTGTTTTGCAATTGGGTCCATTTGGTCTCCCCTGCTGTGGGTGTTTCCGGTGGTTGTGTGGGGGTTCTGTCGCCGGCGGACTGTGGCGGGGTTGGGTGGTGTGCGGGTCAGTGGACGGGGCGGGACCTTGGTGGACGAGACACCTGGTGTCGAGAAAGCTTGGGTTGTAGGGCCGGGCTGCTCCCCTCCACGGTCTTCTGGTGTTGGGGACTGATGGGGTTCGGTGCGCTCGATTTCTGCTAGTGGTGTTAGGAGAGGTTGGGTTGTGTTGGTGTTGGGAGCGAGTCTTGTTCTCTCGGTTGGTGGTGGGTTGATTTGAGATGGCTTCGGAGTTCAGGTTCGGTTGCTGTATAGGCCTTATCGCAGTTTCAGTAGCTGTTACTCGGGCTTGGGGTCTTCTTGAACCGACTGTTTCGCTATTGGTTTTTGGGCTCGTGTGTCGACCGGGAAGGCCTTAGTCTATTTAGTTG